CATAAAAATGTTTTTCAAACTTTTTTAAGTCATTAAAAACACTTGGTGTTCGCCCAAACCAAAAACCAAGCCATCCGGCGTTCGGGTTTCAGAAACCGGCATTCGGCATTCGGTTTTCGGCGTTGGTTTTTGGCGTCCGAACTAACCAAGTGGTTTTCAACTTTTTATGATTGGTTTTCACTTCTGGGCACATTTAAATAGTTTTTCATCAAAAACACTTCAAAAACCACCTTTCGTTTTTTGTCGTTTGATAAAAACCATGTGAAACGGCATTAACTTAGCTAGCTGTGGTTTTTACTTAAATGAAGTGGTTTTCAAGTCTTTTTGTGTGGGAATTGTTTTTGGATGCATTTAAATGGTTCTCCAATCAAAACATCATGAAAACCACCTTTCGGTTTTGTCTTTTGGTGAAAACCACCCGTGTACGGTGTTGACTTGGTCAACCGTAGTTTTTACCTTAACGACGTGGTTTTCAACTTACAAAGCTTGTTTTGACATCAAAATACATTAAATAATTGTTTTATATACTTACTTTTTACTTTGGAGAACTTTGCATTTTTCGGTCGGGTTTCAGCGCCGGTCGGCTAGGCCATGGTTCTGGGCTAGCCATCTACCCAGCGATGGTAGATTTTACCCATGCATGGGTAAGTGATCCCGGGATTCCAGAATCATGCCACCCAGCGATGGGAAGATCTTCCCATCGATGGGTAAGCAGTCCCTTAGCCAAACCAATTTCCAGAACCATGCCAAACAGCGATGGGAAGTTCTACCCATCGCTGTTAAAGCCTTGGTGCAACATTACCACAAGGCAGAATGCCCTTACCCAGCGATGGGAAGCTTTACCCATTGATGGGAACCCAGCGATGGGAAGTCTTAACCATCGATGGGAAGGCATGACCGTTGGGAGTCATTTAAGGCTGATTCTTTCCTTATTTGAAAGTCAACCTCCCACCCAGCGATGGGAAGCATTTACCCATCGATGGGTAGGTAGCCGTTGGCTTCAAAACTGAAGGAAAATTGGCTTACCAGCGATGAGTAAGTTTCAAACATCGATGGGAAGCCAATATCCTGCAGATCCCAAATTTATTCAATCCCATAAATCAAGCCAATCACCCCTTTAATGTATTGGTCCGTTGGAGCCTTTTTTGGCACTATAAAAAGGGGTGTTTGGGTCTGCTTTTCTCATAAATTCACTTCACTTTATTCATATTATCATTGCATCCAAACAACATTATTTTTCATAGCTTTCTAGAGCCAATTTGTGAAGTTTGAGTTGTTCTTGAGCGTATATAGTTTACTCAACATCTACTCTTAAAGAGAGTCTTCTTCTTGAGTGTTCTTAGTGTTGTAAACACGTTTAGGGAAGCTTGTTTCCCTTGGTTGTACGAAGGAAAGGTATTTTCCTTCGGGTTGAAGTCTTGGAGTGCGGTATCTCCGAGCAAGTGTATTGAGGCTCGTGGGACTCGAGTTCTCAGGTTGTAACGGTTTGTTAAGCACCCGTAAGCTTAACGGAAGTAGTGTAGCTCGAGAGAGTCTCTCGGGAGGCTGGA